TATTCCAATATCCTCCCACCTCTAGCCCTACCTCAAACCACCCTCTAGAACGCAGCCAGAGTAGAAGACAAATCTGATTATGCTACTCCCAAGCTTAAAATTTCTCCCCAACCCTGCCCCAATGCAGGTTGTCCAGTCCTGCCATCACTGCTCCTTAGTTTGCCCAGACAGACAGAGAATTCCTGGAGAACAGAGTTATTCTTATCTTTGAAACTCACATTAAAAATAAAGTGAGGGTTGGGGCGCCTGGGTGGCTCAGTCAGTTAAGCGTCTGCCTCCGGCTCAGGGCGTGATCTCAGGGTCCTGGGATGGAGCCCCGCATTGCATTGCACTCCCTGCTCAGTGGCAAGCCTGCTTCTCCCTTTCCCACTCTCCCTACCTGTGCGCGCTCTGTCAAATAAATAAATAAAATCTTAAAAAAAGATAAAGTGAGGGTTGTCTAGCTTCTGTTTCGAATTCTTGACAGTTTACTCTAGGTTCATGATCCTCCTGAATTTTTATGGGCCACAAATATTTGATTCCTGTTTTCACACTGTTTTACAGCACAGAAAAAAAGATATTCCCACACAAAACCTCATGAACACAGAAGAGTACGGTACAAGAATGGATATCTACATTATTTACTATGACTTCAGAAAGAAAACTTTCCTAAATGTTCTATTTGCAAACACCATTGTAGATGGAAAAAACAGATGTTTTGTTCTCAGAGAATTAGGAGAAATATGTTTTCCTATGTTAATTTTTCTCCATGAAACTGAATCAAACGCAGCCAGGTTTTAGAAATAGTTTAATGACATTAAAACATTTATGTATGTGTCTCAAAATAGAATGATATTAATTTTTCATTTTATTTTAAAGATTTTATTTATTGATTTGACAGAGAGAGACACAGCGAGAGAGGGAACACATGCAGGGGGAGTAGAAGAGGGAGAAGCAGGCTTCCCACTGAGCAGTGAGCCTGATGCAGGGCTGATCCCAGGACCCTGGAACCATGACCTGAGCCAAAGGCAGACGCTTAACGACTGAGCCACCCAGGCTCCCCTAATTTTTCATTTTAGAGCAGTACTGTTCTATAGGACTTTTCTCAATAATAAAAATGTTCTAAGTCTGCACTGTTCAGTATGGTAGCCACCAGCCACACAGAGCTATTGAGCAATTAAACTGTGGCCAGTGCTGAATTTTTATTTTAATTAAATTTAAGTAAACACATGCGCCAACGGGTTAAGAGTGTGGTATTACTTTGTGAAACTAATGTACTAGCATCTTAGCCTAAAGATGCTGATTGACAAAGTTTCGCAAAACATGTCTCATTACTAAATAACCAAATATCCAAAAGTGAGTACCATTGACCCCTGAACAACATAAGTGACCCTCCCTGCGCCCCCCTCAAAAATTTGCATATAACTTTTGACTCCCCAAGAACTTCATTACTAATAGCCTACTGTTGACTGAAAGTCTTAATATAAACAGTACAGTGGGCTAACATGTTTCATGTAAGAGTTATATACTGTATTCTTACAATAAAGCTAGAGAAAAGGAAACGTTAAGAAAATCATCAAGGAGAATATTTACAGTACCATTCTGTCTTTATGGAAAAAAAAATCTGTGTGTAAGTGGATCCACAGTTATACCTGTGCTGTTCAAGGGTCAGCTGTATTTTGCTAGTAAAACAGAACTACCCTTTAGGACAACCAGTCACTGTAAGGTGACTAAGATACATTTCAATACATTTTACTGGAAGAGTATCTGATTTGACTGCTGAACAAAGAATTATGAATGGAAGTTCTCCACAGTGTTTTCTAAACCTCACCAGTACGCAATGTTCCTTAAACCTTCTAAAAGTTAAAAAATGAGAAAAGGGAATTTGTTCCAGGAGAGAAAAAGATCAGCAGTCAATTTCTGTGAAACATCCAAATAAAAGGTTAAGTTCAAACCTAAGACAATGATACCCTTGCAATGATAAAATTAAGAAGAAATTTTGGGGGTGAATTTAAATAAAAAAAAAAAAACCTTTGAGGACTACAGAGGAAACAGTCAAATGTCTGCTTATAATCTTTATTAACTCACATATATTTAAAAATACATTATATAGTGCAATATATTAATTCACAAAACAATTTTACTCTATTCACTTTCATCTTCCACTTATCAGTGTCTCTGTGGTCACGTAAGCCACTCAGAATTATCAAATTCCATTTTCCAGAGCACATCACCCTCACAATGACCAAATCAGCTATGACAGAGTACTTCTTGAATCCACACATGATGCTCTCATCGGAAATCTCAACCAACCAAAGCCATCAACACCTATTCAGGAGGGCAGAACATTTTTTCAGTCATCATTGACTATACTGATTGACTGAATAAATACATCAAACCAGCATCAACTGAAGTTATTTTAGCCCAATATGTATTTCCCAAACAGCATCCTGTTGTTCAAAACAGAGTGACTGAGGGACGCCTGGGCGGCGCATGTCCATTAAGCATCTGCTTTCTGCTCAGGTCGTGCTCCCAGGGTCCTGGGATTGAGTCCTGCATCGGGCTCCTTGCTTGGCAGGGAGCCTGCTTCTCTCTCTGCCTGCCTCTGTCTCTCTCTCTGACAAATAAATAAATAAAATCTTAGGGAAAAAAAAAACCAGAGTGACTGAGAGAGCCCTGTAATAGGAGAGACTTGAACACGTGGTGACACTCTCTTTACAGAGGAATACGTTTGGGGGGAACTTTGCCTTATAATCAGGTGTACACAGTATATCCTTGAAGTCAACTTTTAAGAGGGAAAGCTGCCTGGGATATCTAAGGATTTCTTCCTGTCTTTTGTAAATGCTCTCTAAGCTTCCAGATTTGGAATGAAATGCCTGTCTCTGCTAAGCAGTCATTTTCCTTTTCGAGTCACAGGCAGACACAAAGCTGCCAGCACAAGTGGATGGATGGGCCTTCCCTACTTTTAATCCAATCCCATACTACTGCAGGTACAATCGGCACAATCTTTCCAAAAAACTAATCTGATGGCATCTGCTCAGCTTAAAAACTTGCTACTGCCTCCATCTGTTGGAGGGTAAAAAATTCAATCTTCCTTGTGTCATTTTGAGGTTACTCTGATCCACCTTTGTTAACTGGTAGGTACCACCCCACTTTCTCATCTCAGGGGCTTTGGCCAAGACCCCTCCATTAACTGGAGGCACCCCCTGCACTGGCACTCCAACTTGGTTAAATCCTACTCTTTTTTTCACAGCTCAACTCAGCTTCCTCCAGCACTGAATCCAGGAACAACTTCCGTCTCACTGCTTACCATAGTATTTGTTTTCTACACTACCACTACTAATACCTAATACTTATTCAGTGTATGCCACTGGTAAGACACTATTTTAAGTGCTGCACATAGGTTATCTCCTGTATACCTCAAAAGCTTTCTAAGCTAGGTAACACTCTTGGGCTAAGAAAGCTGAGGCCCACAGAAGTCAGACACAGTCCCAAGGTTCTATAGTGCTAGGATGGAAAGTCAGGTCATCGGCAGAGCTTCAGGGTCTGAACTCTTACCCTTTACAATGTCCTACTGCCCAAAGGGTTCTACATTAAATCAGAGACTTCTTGACAATAGTGAAGGCTTACCAGTTGCTTGTTGAGAGAATGATCAGAACAATTACAGGTAGAACAATGACTACCTGAGAAGATGAAGCGAGGCTGGAAACTGAGTAATGTTGGTTTAACAGAAGATCCCTAGGGCTCCCTTCCAGCGAAAATCAATCATCAAAACCAAACCCCTGTCCCTTTCTCCAAAGATGTCCTTCACAGGTGTTATGAAGGACATCTGTTTGCAAAAACAAAACCCCTAAACTAGTTGCTGAGAAGTGAGGCCTTTACCTAGCTTCACAGTGACAGAAGCACACATAAACTTCACATTTATAGGCAGAAGCAACAAAACTATTCCAAGACACAATAACCTGATTTATTGTTTGAGGACAAAGAAAAAAAACTCAAGGCAAGCCCACCCTTCGGTTTCCTAGTTTAACACTGATTTTCAAGGCAAGACGAATTTGTAATTCCTAAAGCAAATCAATGTTAGCATAAGCTTCCCATTTAACACAAAATATTTAGGCCTATAAGGAACCTAAAAGGTATTTTCTCAAAAAGGAAACTACAACAGCTAATATTTAGAGTGTTTTCTATATGTCAGGCATTTTCACATTCATTATTCCTTTTTGTGGTACCCTTTAAAAGACCCACTTTTAAACTTTCAGTCATCACCTCGTTTTACAGAAGAGGAAACTAAGGCTCACAGATAGTTACACTGATAGTTACATGGTTTCAACCTTCGCTCTACATAGTCACCAAGCCCCAAGCATTACATGAAGTTTCTCGGAGTTTAAAGATGTGACACAAACTCCCCTTTCCTACTCTCACTTTCAAGCAGGGCTGTGAGCAGGGCTGGGGAACGGCCGCCTTGTTCTCCTCCCACCCCACAACTCAGGTATGTCACACACTTGTATCACCTAAGAGAAGTCAAACTCCGCCCTCACTGCTCCTCCCGACACAGCACCCAACTGCTTGTTCGCGGGAGTCACCATTCCAAGATTTTAATCTGCAAGGTCAGAGTTTAGGTAATTTAAGACGAACACCGCATGGGATTGGCAGACTTACCTTCTGATCCCAGAACCATTCAAGCTGCGAGATCCGCAGTATAACGACACTTTCACAACTGATGGGAGAACTGCATGAAGCTTTCAAGTGCTCCACTTCCGCTAAGTCTAAAATGACACCACTATTTCTAACCATCAACTGACTTCGGACCAACGCCTTAGCTAATACATTTTCAAAAGCCCTGGAGCTTCGCGAGTACCGCCTAAGCGCACAAATCTCTTGCTGTCATGAGTTAAACAACCCCAAAGGCAACCTTGCAGGTCGGTATCCTCTAGCAACAACTACTCTTAACTCGAGATCTCCCCTGTCACATGCAGAGGTCGATCTCACACCCAGCCACCCGCAATCACCATGTGCGAAGTTTAATCTTGAGTTCGGCCAAAAGGCATTTCCTTTTTCCTTAAATGAAAAGGAGATTCGGACCTGTGCTCCTGCCCGGCTGCCCAGCGCTCAGGACCCCTTCCCGGCGGGTGCCCGGCAGCCACCCCGGCAGGACCCACCCCAAGCAGGAACGCGGAGCCTTCCAGGTGTAGCTGCCGACTGCAGGCCACGCCGCCCGCGGCCGCCTGGGACTCGGAGGCCGAGGGCGGAGGCGCGGCCGCCGCGCCCGCGCACAGCCGGCCCCGCCCGCCCGCCCCGCCCCCACCGCCCCGCCGGCGGGAGCTGCGGGCGCGCGCCCCGCCTAGGC